CAGCTGCAGATCCAGGAGGACTCCCAAATTGCGAGCCCTCTCTGAGGGGCGTATAATTTCACCCCCCGGGCTGAGAGATGGAATAGTTGGACCATCTTTGGGAGGGAGCATCAATAGCCACTCGGTCTTGTCGGGCCATGAACACCATAAGACACCAACTTATGGCACCAACACTTGAGCGTCTGATTGGTGTAAGTTTGAGAAAATGAAAGAATGTAGTTAGAGACAGAATTTCATTTCCTTATAACCCGTCTTTTCATAGAAAAAGCAAGTTTATAGTCCCGAGAGATCATACACGCTTTGATATCATTTATGTACAAACATTATAAAAGTCTGCTAAAATATAAAATGGATAATTGCCTGAATGCATCTCACTGATAATTCCAGCAGACTGGGGAACATCTGAAACTTCCTAATATACCCAAAATTATAGTCCAAAAATTATTTCTGATTAGTGAAATCTCTTTAAGATCTAGCTACTCACAATTTTTTTTAAAAAACAAAACAAAACCTCCCACTTCCTGTTGTCTCTTTCAATCCTGGAATTGGAAACATTTGTCCTCTCCCAGGGGCTAATGCTGATCTGCCAATCTAGCCCCCCCTCTTTCTGCAAAGATACCCGGCTTCAGCAGTAGGGGGAGCTTTCCATTGAGCAGACTCACCGAGGAGCATCTGAGTAAGCGCTGGGGTCCATGGGGTCCAGTTCTTCGTCCTTTCGGCTCGCTGTAAAAGACAGACAAGAGGGATGCCAGAGTTTGATAACCACATTGGGGATAAGAGGAATCCATTCCTCCAGGAGGAGATACTGTATGCCGCTAGCCGAAACACCTTTGGGCTGCTCAGGGTAGGTAGGGCATGGGCTCTTACCTTTTTTGCTCTTAGGGTAGGGGGCCAGTTCTTCCCGCCGGTGATAGCGACGCTCCTTCACCTCCTCCCGCTCAATCTTATCATGGAAGCGTTCTGTTTTGCTTTCAGCATCTAAAGGAGATGAATATTTTACTTTTAGTTTTCTCAACAGGCTACCCCTTGCCTTTTTCTTCTGCACTGTCGTTTTTCTTTTGGTTGTTACACACATTACACCTATCCTCCGCGAGCTGCACTGGCTGCCCATTGGTCTCCAGACTCGCTTCAAGGTGCTAGTTGTTACTTGTAAAGCCCTACATGGCATTGAACCTGGGTACCTGAGAGACCGCCTCCTGCCAATTACCTCCCAAAGACCAATTCGATCGCACAGGCTTGGCTTTCTCCGGGTCCCATCTGCCAGCCAATGCTGGCTGGCGACCCCCCGGGGGAGAGCCTTCTCTGTCGCAGCTCCAGCCCTCTGGAACGAGCTCCCTGTGGAGATCCGGACCCTTACTACCCTCCCAGCCTTCCGTAAAGCTACTAAGTCCTGGCTGTTCCGGCAGGCTGGGGGCTGTTAAAGCACCCAGCCCCGTTTTAATTGTGACTGTTGTGGATTTTAAAATTTGTTTGTATTGTCTTATTTATTCCCTCCCCTGTTTATTGTGAGCCGCCTGGAGTCCTTCGGGAG